TTTATCCGCCACACGTGGGTGTGGGACCAGCCCGTCGCCCCTTCGCCCCTCCTACCAGTCTCGATGCAGCTTCTTTAATTACATAGCTGTAGGACTTCTATTCAGCTTGATTTCAGGCGGTTTTGAATGGTGGTTGTTCTGTAGTTTTGTTGTAACTTGGATGTGGTTGTGGGAGGATGCGATACTGCATTTACCTCCGCTGCCATCTTGACCGGAAGTCCCTAAATATATTTCTTAATTGATTTTTTTAGATAGAGAGGAAGGGAGACAAGGAGAGAGAGAGAGAAACATCAATCGGCTGCCTCCTGCACACCCCATATTGGGGATCAAGCCCACAACCTGGGCATGTGCTCCGACTGAGAATCGAACCAGTGACCTCCTGGTGCAAGGGATGACACTCAATCCACTGAGCCACACTGGCCGGGCCTAATTTGTCCATTTTTGAACATATACATTCAGAAAACCTACTGTATTGTGTAATGAACTTTCGGCTTTAACAGATACTCCCCTCGCCCGAATTAGTTTGTTATATTGAGGTTTTACTGTAAAATTGAATCCCGGTTCCATCCTACTAATTTGTGTGTGACCATAGCCAATTTACATACCGCCTCCGGACCTTGTACCAGTGACATTTAAAATTTTTCCTTCTCAGAGTTGTGAGGATTAAGTGAAAGAAAGTGTCTGCCTTCCCAAGTGAACTACAGTCTAGGTTTCGCCTGCTAATAGGAATTACAGGGTGAACTCAGGGTGAGGGTCTGGTCCAGTAGGGAAGGTCTTTCTGGGTAAGTGCTCTACGTGTTTTTTTCCCTAACCTTTTTTTTTTTTCTGACTGCAAAACTAATACATGCTATTGTAAAACCTCCCAACAAAATGTGTATTCTAAAAGTAAAAGACTTTCCAAAATCCTACCCTCCAGGTAGCCGCTATTAACACGTTCTTATTCTCTAGTACTGATTTCCTTAAAGTGTGAGTCACCCACACAGATTTTTTTTTCCAAAAAACAAATCCCAGACTTTTTATTTTTGCCCAAGGGGAGAGAGCCCTAAGTGGGGTTATTTATTATTTTCTTTACATTACATTGTTTAATGTGAAAAATAGATAAATTATAGCCCGGCTGGTGTGACTCAGTGGTTGAGCATCAACCCATGCACCGAGAGGTCACTGGTTCAATTCCCGGTCAGGGCAATGCCCAGGTTGTGGGCCTAATCCCCAGTTGTGGGCATGCAGGAGGCAGCCAATTGATGTTCTCTCTCATAAATGTTTCTATCTCTCTCTCCCTCTCCCTTCTTCTCTCTCTAAAATCAAAAAAGAAAAATATTTTTTATTAAAAAAGATAAATTGTAAATCAATCTCCCTGCCATCCTTGTCCCTGGCATCCTGTCTCCTTCCTCCTGATGTACAGGAATCTTTCCTTCCTCTGTGCACATGCAACCACATATGTACAAATGTTCTTTTCTAAGGTCCTGCAACCTTGCTCAATCCATGTAAGTTCTGGTTGCTTCTGTAAATTCCTTAGGATAGCCTATGTACTGAATTGTGTGTCTGTGAATAGAGACAATTTGCTTCTTTCTTTCAAGTCTTAATGTTGTTCATTTGTTTTTCTTGCCATATGGCGCAGGCCAGGACCTTTGGTACAATGTTGAAGGGAAGTGAGGACCTTCCTCCTTCCCCAGGAAAGAGCACTGCAGGCAGGGAAAGCAGCACCAGCAAAAGCTAAGACATTGCCAGATCTGTGAGGTGCAGGAACACCGAGCAGCTTAGTGTGGCCGGAGCACTGGCTGGGAACATGGGCGAGGTGAGGCTGGGGCAGAGGGGTGCTGGGGCCAGCCACAGGGAGCTTGCCAGGCCGAGCTGCTTGGGCTGTGCCCTGGCGTTATGGAGAAAGCTTGGGCGGCTTTCATTAGAGGGGGCACCTAGCCAGATTTATCTTTGGAAAGATGGGGCAGAGGGTGAACAGACAGAAGGTTGGGAGGAAAGAGTGTCTCCTTTTCCTCTGAGGTCCCAAAATACCGAAACTAAAAACAGTTGATACAGTCACTTGCCCACCAGGCATTTACTGAGTACCTGGTGGGTGTAGACTACTGCTGGCCCTTGAACAACATGTGGCACCAACCCCATGTGCAGTAAAAAACCCACATACAGCTTTCAACTCCCCCGAAAACTTAACTACTACTAAAACTTAACTTCTGCTGTTGACCAGAAGCCTCACAGAGAACATACATGATCAATACATATTTTGTATCTTATCTGTATTATATACTATAGTCTTACAATAAAGTAAGCTAGAGAAAAAAAATGTAATTAAGAAAATCATAAGGGAAAAAGCGGAATCTGCACCTTTCCGACCAGCAGTAGCAACTGCAGAACTGCGGGAGACAACCTTTCAGACACGGCAGTTGAGGAGGAGGGAGCGATTGGAGGGGGCTTGGCTTGGCGTGCACTCCGCACCTCGGGAACGTTATTGCGCGTGGAACGGCTGTTTTTGGAAGACTTTTGCCCAGAAGAAAAGATGTTTGGTTTTCACAAGACAAAGATGTACCGAAGTATAGAGGGCTGCTGTATCTGCAGAGCTAAGTCCTCCAATTCTCGATTCACTGACAGTAAACGCTATGAAAAGGACTTCCAGAGCTGCTTTGGATCGCAGGAGACTCGTGCAGGAGACATCTGTAATGCCTGTGTCCTGCTTGTGAAAAGATGGAAGAAATCACCAGCAGGATCAAAAAAAAACAAACAAACCAAAAAACCTGGAATCATGTGGTAGATGCGCAGGCAGGACCCAGTCGAAAGACGACACTGAAACCAAAGAAAGTGAAAACTCTGTCTGGCAACAGGAGGAAAAAGCAACCACATCAGCAAACTGCAGAAGGAATTTAAGCGTCACTGTTCTGATGCTCACAGTATCACCTCCAGTGCCTCCCCAGCTCAATCTCCTGTTATAGTAACCAGTCAGATGATGGCTCAGATACAGAGATGGCTTCGGGCTCTAACAGATGCCAGTTTTTTCCTTTTTAGATCTCACATACTGGGAAAGACAGAAAACATGTTGTGGGGTTATCTGTAAAGGCTGTTTGGGGGAAGTCCTCATTGACGCATCTACTCAAACCTCGCTGCAGCCTAAGACAGCAGCTGCGGGGAAGCCGGGGGGAGCAGGGGCCAGAGCCGCTGCCATCTCCCCTCAGGAGTGGTGACAGGTTTATGTAGAAGGGAAACAAAACACGATTTAAATTTTAGAAAAGAAAAACAAAAACAAACAAATAAAAAAAACAACAACACAGCAACAAAAGGACCCTCCCGGGTTTAACTTGGATACTCGCTATTCTGCCAAAAGACAATTTCTAGACTAGTTCGGAATGGGATATTTTCCCTGCACGTTCACAAGTTCCACAAACTCTGAAGCCAGTGTCTAGCTTACGAAAGAAAGAAAGACATGTACATAATATTTAAGATGCTGAGTATTTCACAGGAAAGCTGAATGCTGCTGTAAAGTGCTCTTTAAGTTTTTTTCTTTTAAATCCCCTTCTAATGAATGAAACTAGGGGAATTCAGGGGACAGAGATGGGATTTGTTGTATGATAAATGTAGGTAGTTTTAGTCTTTCTATATTTAGAAGCAGTGGTTGGGGCATTTTTTTAAAAAATTTTTTTCTTTATCCTCACCCGAGGACATTTTTCCAATTTTTGTTCAGATAGAGTGGGAGGGAGAGAGAGAGAGAGAGGGAGAGAGAGAGAGAGAGAGAGAGAAACATCGACGTGAAAGGGACACATCGAGTGGTTGCCACCCGCACGACCAAACCAGGGCTGGGGACAAACTGCAACCAAGGTATGTGCTCTTGGTGGGAACCGAACTCGGGTCTCCCTGGACCACAGGCCGACGCTCTAACTGCTGAGCACACCGACCAGGGCAGGTTGGGGCATTTTTAAAGATGGCTGACTACACTTGTTTTCCTTCATGATAGTAAATTTGTCATAAACCCAATAACCTGGACTTGCCCCTAGAGGTAATTGTTAATAATTTTGAAATATTAAGGTCTTGCCAAGATTCTGATCATTCAAACCTGTGATGCTGAATATTAAGCAGGACAGAATAAACTCTCTGGTGCAAATACCTTGAAGGAGTTATTTCTAAATATACAAAGAGGTAACTGGACTGTATATGTGTATCTTGAGTCACCTCCCTCATAGTGATATTTGATGAAGACTTTAATTTATATGAAATTTCTAAAGCAGAATCAGAGCTCCTCTTGGGGAAATGTCAAGTCTAGGATATGCAGTCTTCTATGAATAGTACCAAAGCTTTACCACATGGTAGAGAACACACTCTATTCAAAATGTTAAATTATCTGAAAAATAAAATGTGCAAGCCTTAAGGATGGCATGGAAAAGCAAAGGGCACGTTTCTTAGAGGGCTTGCCAAGTGTGTACATAACTGCCTTTTGTTTGTGTTCCATGACTGACGACTTCATTGAAAATCTACACAATTCAGTTTAAGCTCTGGATTACTTCAGGTGACCCGTGTGAAGGTTTTTATCTGTGTAGAGTGGTTGTTCAACTTGTTTTAACCTTTTAGGGTTTGGTGCCCCCCTCCCCACTATATTAAAGTAAAATTTTAACCAAAAAAAAAAATCATAAGAAATAAAAAAACACATTTACACTAATATACTGTATTTATTGGAAAAACTCTGTGTATAAATGGAGTTCAAAGCCATGCTGTTCAAGGGTCAACTAGACTTGACTGGCAGAAGGGAGGTGGAGGGAGAAGACCAAAGTGAATAAGGCAGCCTGGTGCAGTGGGAAAAAATTCCGTTTTGGAGGCAGGCCTACCTAGGTTCCAGCGTGACGCTGGACCGGCTGCGCTCTTTCCTCCTTGAAGGGTGGGAAGCTCATCTCTTCTTGCGGGGCTGCGGGCTGGACAGGCAGGTGCCGCCGGTGCCGGCGTAGGGGAGAGTCTCTGGGCAGCCTCGTGTCCTTCCTCTCATACCTCTCGCCTGCTTCCCTCCCCAGGCCAGGTCAGCATCGTGGTTTTCATAGGCCTCCTGTTCACAAGATTCTGGTTGTTCAGCGTCCTGTATGCCACCTGGTGGTACCTGGACCGAGACACGCCGTGGAAGGGTGGCAGGCGCTCGGATTACCTGAGACGCTGGTTCATGTGGAAGTACATGAAGGACTACTTTCCCGTGTCAGTGAGTACCGGGGCTGGGGGTGGCCAGGGCGCAGTGTCCCACATCTCTGTGGGAAATGGGATCCTGGGTGAGGTGAGAAGAGCTGGGCTGGGAGGCAGCGGCCAGGGCTCCCACCACTGTGTGGGGGAGGAAGAGCGCTCCTGTCCGGCGGGGTCACCTGTGGGGTGCAGGGCCAGTGGGAGGGTTGGTGAGTACACGGGACCAGGAGGAGCTCTGTGGGGTGTCCAGTGTGTCACACGCGTGTATCTTAAAGGTGTAAACCCCTCGGCAGCCCAGGTTTGGGGTGGAGGGAGATAATAAACTCAAGGTCCTAAGAGACCATCTAGCTCCATACTTCATCAGAGGAGGACACTGACACCCAGAGGGACAATGGTATGACCAAGGTCACACAGCAAGTTTTTTAAACAAGTTTTAAAGTCTGTGTATTAACTATAGGTGAAGGAGAAGGGGAGAGAGCCCTCCACTGGCTCTCAGGTTCTCTCCTACTCCTAACTCTGGTGTGCTGTGTGTCCTTGGGTGAGGCCTGCCCCCCTTCTGAACCTCAGTTTCCCCCATGTATCCAGTAAGCAGATTGTTTCCTCCTACTCTGAGTGCCTTTGAGTCTCTGACTCTCTGACTCAGGGTACCGCATGGCCATTGTGGACACTTGAACCTGGACCCAAAGATCAGTCCTGAATGAAGCAGACCCCTGGATTTGAGTGAACAGAACCTTCAGCTTCTTTACTGAGTCCAGACAAACTAAACCTTGGAAGTAAGCAGCTGGGCAGGGATGGTGTATTGGCCAAGTAGGATAGGATGGGAAAGACAAGGGGACACAGAGAGGTACCAGGCAGGGACAGTTACCTCTTCTCTGGAAACAGGAAAGAATAAAAAGATATAGAATGTGGTCTCTGGAACTAGATGGACTAGGTTCCACTGCCATTTCCGCCTGTATCAGCTATGTGACCTTGGGTGAGTTACACAGTCTCTGAACCTCAGTTCCCACCCAGGTAAGGGGGAGCTGATACCACAGACATCACTGGGTTGTATGGATTCATTGAGACAGGGGGTAAAGCACCTTGTAGGTTCTCAGCAAACTAGTAGCTAGGAGAATTTTACTGAGTCAGTGGGGAGTATGAGAGACTTGGGTGTGGCTGCAGGTTTGATAGCCTAGAGCCCTGCTGCTTTGACCTTCACACCTACAAGGCTTCTCCTACTCCATCCAGATCCCCACCTCTTCCTGTGCCTCCAGGAGTTAGGTCCCAGCTGGTGAAGGGGAAGGAGTGGAGGAGGCAGGTTCACAGAGGTTGAACAGCTCACCCAGTCGCAGGCGGTGTCCCTGCATTGCTCCCTTCCAAGAGTCCTGAGGCCCAACAAGGACTAGCAAAGGCTGGGCAACAACTGGGGTGCAAGAGCCCCTAACACCCATATGAGCAGGTCTCCAGGGCAAAGGACAAGGGTGGGACAGGGCAGGGCAGGGCAGCAGGGCAGGGGCTGGGCAGAGGACAGGAAGTTGACTGGCAGAGACTTCTATGTTCATGTTGAAAGGCAGAGTGAGTGGCTAGTGCTGAGCTAATCTGAGGGGCCCAGGTAGGGGGTGATCTTCCTCACCCCCTATATCTACTTCCTCTGCAGTGTGCCCTTCCAGGATATTGTCATCAAGGGCAAGCAGGGTTTGCCAGGTCCTAAAAGGAGCCGTGGGCATGTTATGGGCAGAGTCCCTTATCCCCACCCAGGACTTCTGAGCTTGAGATTCTGAATCCCGGCCCTGCCCCTCCACCCCCCCCCCCTTCCCATGACGTGTTCTCCTGTTCCAGAAAAGTCAGAGTTTCCATGGGAAAGTGTGGCCTGGAACCTGAGAGTGTGTGTGGATGTCAACTTCCAAGCCAAAGAAACCTTAGGCAGGTCTGGCCTCTAGTAGAGCTTTGTGGATTCTTGCTCTGTGTTCTCATCTCCCACTGTGAGCTGAATCCTGAGTTCACCAGGGAAAGCGAAGGAACAGCACAGCACAGGCCCAGAAGCTGGCCACAGTCTGGCTTTTCAGCAATAAACCTAATGTTCAGTGTGAATAAAGTAGAAGGTGCACCCGGGGACAAGGCTAAAGAGTTTTCCAGGGACAAGGTCACAGAGGCCACTGAAGGCCATTTTACAGAACCAGGACTCCTTAATGGAGAATTCTCCAGGGGACTGTCATCCAAGGGCCTGCAGAGGAGAGCATCGGGCTCTTTGCACCTGGAGCTGCTGCCAGTTGCAGGTCTGGCAGAAAAATGATACAGAGGCGGTCTGTGCCTATCCTATCCACTGCCTTTCCTGCGCCTCCCCCAGCCAGGTAGCTCTCAAGGAGGGTTTCTCAGTCTTGGCACTATTGACACTGGTGGAACAGTAGACTTGCTTTACAGAAATTCTGCTTGCACAGTGTTTCAGGATTGGTGCCCCCTGCAGGCCTGTTGCAGAGGGCAGGCAGTACCACTAAGTGGCCAACAGAGGGCGAGGTGACACACACTTTGACTTGGCCTATCCCAGGCAAGGAACCTAGGAGTGGGGCTGTGGCCTGCAGGTTCCCTTCCCCATAGGCTCCCAGGAGACCCTCCAACTCTCCCAAAAGGCCCTGCAAGGACCTTGGGGTGGGCTGGAGCTCCCCCGCATTCACTGGCCTCTGCTCTCCAGTCAAATCCATGTGGATTTCTGAGCTCCTATCAGTTCTTACTGGGATTTTATAAACTAGTGTTTAGTGGTGGGATTTCAAGCACAATTAGGAAACTGTTTCTGGGCCCTGCAGTGTCCTAAAGTCACTCCACAGGCTTCCTAAGAGCTAATGATGGAGAACCAGGCAGTGGTGGGTGTAGGGGGAGCTGTCTCCACCTCATGATGGAGACCAGTGCCTGGGAGCTGGGTTCCCTGTGAAGATTTCATCATCCAGAGCTAGCACTGTCTCCATGGGCCAAGGCCTGCGGAGGGTCAGACCTGGAGGAGTCTGGGAGACAGACCTCTGTGGCCAGGGCTGTGACCTGGTGTCAGGAAATGCTGTAGTGTGGGCACCTCCCTCACCCTCCCACCCACAGCTGGGATGACCCCTCACTTCCTCCACAGCCCTGCGGGCATCACTAGGGACTCTCTGCCCCACCTCCCAGCTCAGCCACTTGCCAGCACACTGAGGTCTCTTAAGCTAAGTCAGAGACTCAGGTGGCTGGCCACCCACCCGGGACAGAACTCCAGCTTTCACAGCCCTCGGATGGGACGCTCACTTCCTTCTTCGGTGGCTCTTTTCGCTGTGGGAGGGCTCTGCCTGTGAGCCGGTCTCCTTCCCACAGCTGGGCCTGCTTCCTGTGGCCCTCCCAGGACTCCTACCTCTGCCATGGCACAGGGACCAGCACAGAGAGCAGCTGTCCCCTCAGCCTAGGGCTGCCCTGCAGGGCCTGGGGCCTCCATTCCTCTTGACTTCCACTCCCTCCCCCAGCCAGGGAGCTCTCAAGGGGGCTTTCTCAGCGCCATTGACATTTTGGGCTGAATGAGTCTTTGCTGTGTGCATATGGGGGTTGGTGGGGGAGTTCTGACTTCATCCCAGGCCGCTGCCCACTAAATGCCAGTAACACTTCCCTTTACCAGTTATGACAACAAAAGATGTCTGCAAACTTTACCAAATGTCCCCTCTGAGGGAAGGGGGCCAGACAAACTGACCCTGGTGGAGAGCTACTGCTCTAGAGTCTGGGGTCTGTCTCCCAGACTCCTCCAGATTTGACCTTTCTTTCCTCCCAACTATCTAAGTCCTGACCACCGTTATCTTTTTATCTGGTCTCTTAAAATGTTAAAACAACCCTTGCTGGTTTGGCTCAGTGGTTAGAGCGTTGGACCACGAACCAGAGTCCCGGGTTCAGTTCCCGCTAAGGGCACGTACCTCGGTTGCAGTTTGTCCCTGGCCCCGGTTGGGGTTGTGGGTGGCAGCCACTCGATGTGTCTCTCTCACATTGATGTTTCTCTTTCTCTGTCTTTTTCCCTCTCTCCCTCCTGCTCTATCTGAAGATAAATGCAAAAAAATGTCCTCAGGTGAGGATAAAAAAAATGTTAAAACACAAAACAAAACCCAGCAGTGACTCCCATCACACGTAGAATAAAATCTAATTTTGCCACAGCCGCAGACCCCGCGCTCTGGAGCTGCTCACTCCTCACCTGCCGCTCCTCCCGCCTTCGCCACTCACTTCTCCAGGCCTGAGCTGTGTCACTGGGCTTGATACCCTTACTCGCAGTGAACCCCTTCACCCCTTTACCCCACCACCTTTCACCAGGGAACTCCTCCAAGGCAGCAGCACCTGCTGGTCATGCCCATGGAGCCAGTCTGCCTGTGTTGAAATCTCGCCTCCGCCCACCTGCTGGCTATGTGACCTAGAGCAAATCAATTAACCTTGTGTCTTGGTTTCCTCATCTGTAAAATGGGGGCATTGGTGCCAGTATTTCCCTGGCAGAGGATGAAGCGCAGTGGTGTAGTAGGTGCCTGGCACACAGTAGGTGCTGAGAATTCCCCACCTCGGGCACGCTTCCCAGTTCTCAGTCCCTGGCTCACACTGCGTGTCTTCAACTCTAAGGCTTCCTCAGTGGTAAAACATACCAGCATTTTAGGTATCACTCAGACAAAAATTCTCCCAATTAGAATTGTCAGATGCATTTTTTTTATCCTCACCTGAGGACATTTTTCCATTTGTGTTCAGATAGAGTGAGAGGGAGAGAGAGGAAGAGAGAGAGAGAGAAACATCAATGTGAAAGGGACACATTGAGTGGCTGCCTCCCGCACGACCCCAACCAGGGCTGGGGACAAATCGCAACCGAGGTACGTGCCCTTGACCGGAATCGAACGTGCGACTCAGGGTCCGCGGGCCGACACTCTAACCGCTGAGCCAAACTGGCCAGGGCTGTCAGATGCATCTTGATAACAAAATGTGAAGATGTGAAAAAAGGTGCGTCTTAGAACTGGGAGTAGGTTTGCAGTTGACAGCGAGTTAGCTGAGTGCCTGGCTGTGGGAGGGAGA